CCCAGCATAGTGTGATAGGACAAAAATCCACAAACGTCACAGAGAAAGACACAGATGTGCAGGACACAGCAGTGCTTGGCTAGATGCCAAGCAGGAGGAGGGTGGCTGCAGAGGCAGGAAGCCCAAGGTACATGGTGGGGGTGGAAGTGGTCATTTGGGGAAGTGCACAGGTGACAGTTGGTGAATCAAGAGGAGGGTCCCTCATGGATCCCTAAAAGCCACAGTGAGGTTGGTCAATTTAGTAGAATGAAAACAAAACCATGATGCTCTGTCACATTTGAATGTCAAATACAGAAGGTACCATTCTGTGTATTTCTCATCAATATTAGAGTTCATTTTATTATTATTATTTTTATTATTTTCGAGACAGGGTTTCTCTGTGTAACAGTCCTAACTGTCCTGGAACTAGCTCTGTAGACCAAGATGACCTCAAACTCACAGAGATCTGCCTGTCTCTGCCTCCCAAGTGCTGGGATTAAAAGTGTGCATCACCACCGTCTGGCCTTGTTTTTGTTGTTGTTGGTTTTTTGTTTTTTGGTTTTTTTTTATAAGTAAAAAGCAAACAAACAGGGTCTGTATCCCTGACTGTCCTGGAATTCACTATAGACCAAGCTGGCCTCAAACTCAGAGATCTGCCTGCCTCTGCCTCCCAAGCACTGGAATCAAAGGTGTGTGCCACCACTGCCTAGCTTTGAGTATTTTTAATATTGTGCGTATGTTTGTACGTGTGTGGGTGTGTGCTTCTGTGTGCTGGTGCACATCCATGTGGAAAGCTGAAGTTGTTATCAGGTGAGTGTGTTCTTTGATTGTTCTCTACCTTATTTCTTGAGACGGTGCCTCTCACTGAACTTGGAGATCACTCTTTGGCTAGGCTGGCCGGCCCGTCAGTGAACCCCAGAGATCCTCCTGCCTTTGCCTTCCTAGAGCTGGGATCACAGGCCTGTGTTACTGCATCTGGTTTTATGTGGGTTCTGGGGCTTGAACTCAGGTCCTTAGGCTTGCATAGCAAGCACCTTACCCACTGATTGTCTCCCCAGACCGCTGGGGCATTCTTATATTAAAAGGTGTTCACTGTTGATACAGATGTACTGTTTCAATGAACAACCTGTCATGCATTTGGCATCTGAGTGAGGCCTCTGGGAGCGAGAGGAGCCCTCTGCCTTGGATGTCAGCAGTCATCAGAGGCATTGGCCTGGAGTTCATCAGGGCCCAGCTGGGAGGACAGTACCATCCCCACATAACGGGCCTTTCTCTGAAGCTGCTCTCTCCCACCCCACTCCAACCATAAGCCCACAGCAGGGTCAATTCCCTGTCAGCACAGGCTTCTCTGGGATCTCCAGTCTCTGCTTCAGATAAGAGCTTTACCTGACGCCACAGAACAAATACAATGGGAATTTGAGCCACCTAGGACAAAACAGACCAACCAAAGGGGAAAACCCATATACTTAAATCCCTATTTCTGGAACGTTTTCCGTATTTTCTAATGGTAGTCACTCCCTGCTTGTCCCACTTTTATCAACCCGAAGCTTCACAGAAATACCCATCTTTCCACTTATCAAAGCTCTGCTCTATACAGGTTTCAGTCACTCACTCATCAGCTGTATACTGCACAGCTAATGTGTTCCCAGTGAGTGCAATACTATGCATTGGAAAGAAAAGGATGAAGAAAGATCCCTACTTTCTGAGGGGGAAGGGGACAATGGGAACAAAGAAAAAATAAGCGAACAGATAAAATGCACAATAATTCATGTTAAATGCCAACAAGGAGACTGTACAAAATGCACAGCACCCACATATGGGAAGAACACCCTTTATGTTGGTTATTCTGATTAACCTCTTCCATACAGTAGCCAATAGCCTGATGAACTTTGTCTCTTGTTCTTTCCTTGGGCCCATTGCTAATTGCTTCTTTAGACTAAGGCCCGTGAAGTGGGACTTTGAAGTGAATGATGCTCAATGTCATTTTGTGTTTTCTATTTAGTTTTTCACACCATAAAAATAACATAGTGTGAAATAAAGTTTGGTGCAAATTTGAGGAATTTTAATGCATCCTCATACAGATTTATGCATCCATTGCCACCATCCCAAGGCACAATCACATAGTTCTAGGACAGTCTTTCACACCAATGAGATCTCTTTGTCAACAACAACCCCCCCCCATACACACACACCCTGACAGCCAACTATCTGCCCTCTGTACCTCCATTTTTATCTTTTCCAAACTCACGTGATAACAGTATGAAGCCACACAGCGTGTGCTTTTTCAAGTTGGTTCCTTTACACACTGTAGTGTGCTTCTGAGACTCCCCTGAATTGTTGTGTCCGTGATTCATTTCATTACTGGATGTTATTCCACCACATGTTCCTCAACCCGCTTATCTTATTCCACTACTAAAGGACTTTTGTTGTCTTACTAAGATTTCCGTGACGACTGTGACAATCCGTTTAAAAGAAAAAGGGTTCTACTGATTTCTCCAAATCTATTTCGCTTCTATGAAGCGGAATGAATTCCCACAGCAGTTCTAACCCAATACCTTTCTAGCACTTTTATTTATCTCTTGTCAAAAAGAGAGTTATGGCCAGGCGGTGGTGGTGCACACCTTTATTCCCAGTACTTGGGAGACAGGAGCAGGCGGATCTCTGGGAGTTCAAGGTCAGCCTGGTCTACAAAGAGAGTTCCAGAACAGTCAAGGCTGTTACACAGAGGGGGATTTACTTGTCAGAGATGAGCATCACTCTGTGTGCTAAAATGTTATTCTATAGTATGAATTCACACCGAAGTGGGCTGTGTTGCTTTGGGTCTGCAAAGATGCTCGTCATGGCAGGCATATGATGCAAAAGGAGCTTCAAGCAGAAAGGGAGAGGAGGGAGACACTGGTGTCCCAAAATCCTTTTCAAGGACACATCCCCAGCCACACCCCTCTACTTGGACCCCAGATGAGGACCAAGCCTCTGACACACATGACACCAAGTACCTTGTCCTCAACTAGCCTGAGAACTCTTCAACACATACTCTCTCTCCCCTCCAGACTCACAGCCTCCAGAGCGCGGACACAGATGCATTCTGTATTTTTGCTGACATGTCGCCTGGGTACTTCTTCCCTTTGGGGACATTCAGAGCCAAGCACAGCACCAGTTGTTTGCTGTCTGGTTTGGGTCTCTGCCCCTTCATTTCTTTAGGGCATTTGCTAAGCTGAGGGCTTGCTGGGGACAGGGCTGAACATAGGTTTAATCACATAAGAAACTTAGGACGCTGTTGCAATCACTTTGACCAGCACCAGTGGTTCCTATTTCTGTATGGAGCATCTCACCCCACTTTTCATCTGTGCTCAGTAGTAGCAATGGTGGGCTGCCTGTCTCCAGGTTTATTGGCTACCCATGTGCCTTCTTTGTTGAGTTGCCTGTTCAAATAAACTGCCACTTTAAAGAAGAACTACTTATGAACCAAACCCCACACCCAGTACAGATTTCACTATTTCCTCTCAGTGCCCATATCCTAGGACACTCAATCTATTTAGTTCGCCTGTCTCCCTCCACCTCCTCTAGTCTGTGCTTCTCATTCTTCACTGGGGCTCTTTGGCTGGAGGATGCTCAGAATGAAGTACCTTGTCCTCAACTAGCCTGAGAACTCTTCGACACATACTCTCTCTCTCCACTCCAGACTCACAGCCTCCAGAGCGCGGACACAGATGCATTCTGTGTTTTTGCTGACATGTCGCCTGGGTACTTCTTCCCTTTTGGCATTATTTTACCAAGCTGCCTGCTAAACTAAAGACCTCTGGACAGAGCCCAGAGGCAGATGAGGTGGGGTGAGGATTTATGTGATCAATGGCTAACCTTTAGCCTCTGCCCCAGCCCCCCAGGACTGTTTGGACAGCGGTGGGTTTAGTCAGTGCCCTTTAAATAGCATGAAAGGGCCCCGTGCTGGCCTGTTTTGTTTAAGGAGATTACATCGGTGCTGTGCACTCCGCCACAGGGTGTGTGGGGCCGGTTCACCCGGGAACAGAGCGAGCAGCATGTCCCCCACAAAGCAGATGTTTGGAGGGAAAATAGATGTAATCAAAACCATGGAGGATAAAATTACTCAGACCCTGTAGCCATACACTCCATATACTCTGCCTATGCCCAGCCACACATGTACACATACATTCTACCCAGGTTCACACTCACCTATCTGTAGTGACACACAACTATACACATGTCTGCACACTCACAAACCTCCCTCTAGACAATTGGGAACATGTCCCCCACACCCATCCCTAGCTGCAGGCTGGTCCCATACCCTGGGGCTCACATCTTTTATCACAGACAGATGCACAAGAAGATCCCAATGTGCTCCCCAAAACAATCGCAGTAACAAAAAGAACACACACACAAACTTTCAGAAATCTCTCAAGAGCTTTGGCTGACCCTAGATGGGAGGGGTGTGACTGGATTGACCCAGGACAGGACAAGTGGGTAAAGGTTAAGGGAATGAAGGTAGATTTCCCACTTTCTTGGTTTCACAAGCTGAAACCCAATGGCCAACACCAAGTGGGATCAGTCTGGGACAGCTGGTTCCCAGAAGAGGTTTGTGGCCCACCCAGAAGCTCTTGCTTTCGGCTCCCCACCTGTCAAAAACAGTCCATGGGAATAACACTGGTCTCAGATGGTTCAAGAGCCTTTGACACCACTGAGGGAAGACCTTTCAGGATCAGGAATTACTTTGGATGTCCACTGATGGTCACTCCTTATCTCCCCTTTCTGGGTAGCCTGGGTCTGATTGCTGGGCATGGTGGTACACATCTTTAATCCCAGCACTCTGGAGGCAAATGCAGGTGGATCTCTGTGCATTGGAGGACAGCTTGATCTACGTAGTGAGTTTCAAGCCATTGGGGGAGGGGAGGATGGACTGAGGAAGCCTTAAGTTAGGATGACCCTGAGACGCTTCCTTGACCCATAAAAGGCTCCTTCCCTGATTTGGGAAAGAAGGCATCCAGTCAGGGTAGAATCCATCCAGGATGTCTCTGAAGGCTGGGGAAAAGGCAGCCTTGCTGATGGTAGCCTGGATTCAAGCTGTGCTCTGTTGCTGCTCAGCCTACTCCAGTGCGGGTCCACAAGGCAGTGAAGGGCCTCTGCAGCTGGGCAAACTGGTGCCCCCAGAGGCCACTTCTCTTGTGCAATGTGATGGTCTGAGGCAGAGGTAGCGGACGATGCTTTAGATCAGTGGGTTGTGATCTCTTGAGGTGGGGAGGGATCTGAACGACCCTTTCACAGGGGTCACATATCAGATACCCTGCATATCAGATATGTCCATTACAAATCATAGTTACGAAGTAGCAATAAAAATAATTTTATGAGTTGGGTGGTGGTGAACTTGGGAGGCAGAGGCAGGCAGATCTCTGTGAGTTTGAGGCCAGCCTGGTCTACAAAGCCACACAGAGAAACCCTGTGTTGAAAACCCACCCTCCCCCATAATAATTTTATGGTTGAGAATTGCTACAACATGAGAAACTTATATTAAAGGGTCTCAGCATTAGGAAAACTGAGAACCACTGGTTTAGATGCTGGCCCCTTCCTGCTGGTCCTGCTTATTTCTCTCTTCCTGCTTGCTGTGTGGAGAGGAATGTCCCTTCAGGTCCATCTGGGCTTTTCTTCTACCCGCTTTCTCTCAGTTACCTCCCGTCATGTGAGCCATCAGCCTTGAAAGTGGCATGCTTTTGCGCAATTCTCATGTACCTGATTCATACCTGGTCCCTTCCCTGCTCAGCAGCAACTCTCTGCAAGTATGCAGTGGGACCCTGGCACACAGGTGTCCATGGTGGCTGCGTGGAGAGGGAGCTTATAGACAGATGATGGGAGTCTCCTACCTTAGGCATCCAGGGGATCAGGCTTGCCATTCTCAGAAGGTGTGTATGGCTATAGAACTTGGGAGAGTCTTCCTTTATTGTCTAGAGTAAGGAACCAGCTTCAGCATTTAAAGCAAGAAAATTAATGACCAGCTGACTAGGGCAAAGGCTAACAACTTTAACTGCCATTTATACCGACTGGGAGAGGGAAAATAAGTTTTCTCTAATGAAGTGACACTGGCTATATCCTCCTCCCAGGGCAGGCCTCATGTTCAGGAGTAATTGACGAACATAGAATGGACTCCACAGGTTTGTTTTTTGTTTTGTTTTGTGTTGTTTTGTGTGTGTGTGTGTGTGTGTGTGTGTGTGTGTGTGTGTGTGTGTGTGTGTGTGCGCGCGCGCGCGCGCGCTTCTATTTGGTTACAGTTTGGTAGTGGGTTTTTTTCCTTTCTTTTTTCTTTTTGGGTGGTGTTTTACTTTGTTTTCTTGGTTGTATTGAATTTTCATTTGTTTTTTGAGAAAGAACATGAAGTCAGGTAGGTCGGCATGGGGAGAGGCTCTCGAAGCACTTGGGGGAGGGGAGGAATATGATCAGAATATACTGAAAGTTAAAAATCCTTTTAAATAACAAAAAAATAAGAAAGAAAAGATGGAGAGGTGCTAGGAGATGGTTTAGGGGTTAAGGGTACTTGCTGCTTTTACAGAGGACCTGGGTTCAATTTCCAGCACCCACATGATGGTTCTCAACCTTCCATAACTCCCAGGCACTCATATGGTGCACGTTCAGATAAAATAAACACTTAAAAAAAAATGGCCTTGAGGGGTGGGGAGATGGCTCAGTCGGTAAAGTGCCTGCCACACCTGCATGATGTTGGAGCCCAAGAACACACCTAAAACAGCTAGGCATGGTGGGATGGGCTTGTAATCCCAGCTCCGAGGAGGTGAACATAGGTGGGTCCCTGGAGCTCGCTATCCAGCCAGCCTAGTGGAACAGCAAGCCTCAGACCAGTGACACACCCTGCATCCAAGAACTTGGTAGATGGCTCCTGAGAACAGCATTTGCAGCTGCCCTCTGGCCTCCATGTGCATATGCGTACATACACATGGCAAAATGGACTGAGGCCCAGAGCAGGCACCTCCCTCTGGGGCTGTGATCTCAGTATCCACCTTGCTGTCTCCCCATCTCCCACTCTCTTGGTGCAGTGGGTGGCTGGATGTGGGCAGGGGTAGACCCTACTTCTCATCAGAAGACTGGAGCCTCTGCCATCATCTGTTAGGCCAAGAACTAGCTCCATACTGAGGGTGCCTTAAACTGCATCTTAGCAGACCCCCCTCCCCCCCGCCCCCCGTCCTCGGAGGCAGGACTCCTGGATGCTGGGAGAGGCCTTGGATTTCTTCTCCCTGGAAACAGGTTCCATGCCTATGCTTAGAGAGCAGGGCAGTCCCAAGAGCAGGAGGCTGTGTTCTGTGCATAATTAAGGAGTATTCTTTTTTCTTGCCAGCCTGTTTTTCCTCAGTCTAAACGAGAAGCTGGGACTGGTCCTTCCACCCTGGTTTTTATGTAGCTGCCCTCAACTGGCCCTCATTCCCATGGGGTGATCCCAGCTCCAGGCTGGGTGCCTGGAGACACTACTAGGGTCCCCAGGGCAAGGATGGGCCTGGGGAGCAGGGCTAGGCCAGGAGGGTGGTGGCCTTCTCCCCTGGCCTGGCTGTCAGGAAGTTGCACAAGAGGAATGTTTATTTTTGGTGAGCTGGGTGGGATTTCTTTCCTAAAAAAAAAGAAAGAAAGAAAAAAAAAACCCAAAACATAAAACTTATTTGTCTGCCAGGAAGATAAATATCTTTGCTGGAAGCTCTTGGCCCAGCTGCCAGCTGCAATTCACACAATGCTGTCACCGAAGCCACGGCCCACTGTGTAAGCTGGGCTCACATGGCTGTCATTTGTGATGCCTCTGGGTGGGTCAGCCACCCCTGTGGCATTGACGCCGTGAGTGGCCTACTCTAGGCACTCCCCTCTCCTTCCTTTTTTCAGTGCCACAGAGTTGGAGGGAGACTGACAGAAGTAAAAAGCCCCTCTCACCTTCCTTAATGTGCACAGGGAGGCTGACAAACCTGATATGTCAGTCCCCTGTCCCCAGTCTGGATGGCATCAGAAGATCAAGTCTAGAAGCATCATTCTAATCACAAATTCAAATTGCATGACCTGTTTCGAAAATAAGCAGCAGACGGTCAGAATGAGTGGTGCTGGCTGTAAATGGACAGAGCTTAAGTGTATTTGAGAGTTTTTCACAATCCCCCTCCACACTTTAACTGTTTTCTTGTTGAACTTGTCTCCTTCTCCCTGAGTCTCAGATAAGGAATGCGGCCAAAAAGGGGTTCCCCACATCTGGAGACATGTTTGATTCCCATCCTATGGTGTTTTTATACACATGCCTATACCCCAGGGACTTTTCCCATGGAGGCCTTGTCCTGGGTCATACTCCTCTAGTGCTGCCAGGGACAGTAAGCCTGCAAGGCCAGACCAGAATTAGGAGCCAATAATAATGGAACCAGCTGGTTGGGTGCCCCTCCCTTTCTCATAACCTGTAAGGAATATTCTGTGGGTATCTTTATTCACCCCAGAGTTACAGAGGGGAAACTGAGCCACAAAGGGGTTCATTAGAAACATGGAGCTGTAGAGCCAGAGATGTGGCAGACACACCCTGGTGTCTGGCCCTGGAGCCCAGGCTCTGAGCCCTCTGCAATAGCGAGGCAAGTGGGTCTGCCCAGACGGATGGATGAGCCAGCAGCTCCCACCCTCCTAGCCTGGTCTCCACCTCCCTACCCTTGTCCTGCATGATTTGAATTGGTTCCTTGTGTCTCTGAGCTTCCCAGAATCTACCATGGGAGCCTGATTCTGTCAGCAGGTAGCAGTAAGAGCCTAGAGTGGGAACTGTTTGTGAGGATTCCTTGTAGCCCCAAAGAGTGGATTCTCAGAGGTGAGGTGAAGGCCTGAACAGCTGTGATAGACAGTGACAGCTGCTGCTAATGAAAGAAACCCCAGCAAGCACCCATGCCCCAGTGAAACCCACCTGCTAAAAGCCCTTCTGTGGGCAGGGAGACCAGTATTACCAGAGGAGTGGGAGGTGAACCGTGGGTCTCTCAACACTAAAGTCTGGAGACAGTCTCCAGGGCTTCTCTGTTGAACTAGGTTTCTCTGTTCATGGGGAACACACTGTGTGCCTCAATGCTAGTCTTTCTCTCTCTCACCAAGTCCACTGTGGTTAAAGAGTTCTCTCCTCCTCCAGGGAGCCTCAGTATTATGTCAGCTAGTCCCTGGGTCCATGCCCAAAGAGATTTTGGCTGTAGGGGAAGAGTCTCACAGGTCAGACAAGCAAACCAAGAGCTACATGACATTGGTGCCAGAAGGGACCCACTTAAGGATGATGCCACGGAGGGTGAGAGAAAGGAAGGATTTGCCCCAAAGTCACCCAGCATGTGGATGAAAAGCTAGGATATGAAATGTGAGCCCCCTGACCTGGTACTCAGTGTGTCTCTGTAAGGTCTTCTCCCCTCTCCCTTGCTGGATTCAAGTTTCTGACCTTCCCTTCTTTTCCTCAGCCAAAGAGAGCAACCTGGGTGAGCCAGAATTGCCCCCTGACTCTGAACCCGTGGGTATGGACAACAGCTACCTCAGTGTGAAGGAGACAGGGGCCAAGGGGCCCCAGGACCGGGCTAGTGCTGACATCCCAAGTCCCCTGGAAAAGACTGACTCGGAGAGCAACAAAGGCAAGAAGCGGCGGAACCGCACCACCTTCACCAGCTACCAGCTGGAGGAGCTGGAGAAAGTCTTCCAGAAGACACACTACCCTGATGTGTATGCACGAGAGCAGCTGGCTATGAGGACCGATCTCACGGAGGCCCGTGTGCAGGTCAGCCAGAGTGGCAGGCAGGGGATCCACAAGGCCTTCCAGGTCTTGGGCTCTAGCTTCCACTGGGATCTACTGACTACTGTGGGCTATGCCAGGTTTTCCTCACCTCAGGAGGGCCTACCAAGCCAAGAGGGGATCTGGTCACCCTAATGCCCCCTTCCCCAGTCATAGTATATCTGCTCAGCCACTATATTCAGCTCTGCAGGGTTAGAGCAGGAGAGGGAGGCCCTGTGGATGAAGGAGAAGACTGTGAGTCCATGCCTTAACTGCAGGACAAGAAGGCAGGTCTCTTCTAGGAGGCCCATTTCTCTGACTGCAGATGAACAAGGCACAGACATTCACAGCCCCACAGTAGAAGCAGAGAATAATACAGCCATGCCTGTCTAGGATAGTTGCTTCCTACAACTTTCAGGACCCAATCAACATGCCTCATCTGAGGAGACTCCTGGCCATCACGGCCAATACAATGCGCTACTAGCACCATTACCCAAACCAAATTCAACCCAACTCAGCCCAGCACACCTAATACAGGCCAGTACTACAGACAAGTCAGTGCAGTGCATCCCACTATACAGAGGTCAGTCAACCCCAGGACAACACAATAGAACATGGCCCAATCACTGCATAGCACAACCCAGTGCAGAGGAGCACAGACTAGGACAATCTGCCTCAAAACAGTACAACTCACTGCACAAGTTCAGTTCAACCCATCTCAATATGACACAACCAAGAACAAGCCAGTTCAATAAGGTGTAATTCACTACACAGATTTCAGTTAAACTCAGTAAAACCCAACCCAATATAACACAACACCACACAGTAAAAAATAACACAGCACATCATGTACAGCTCAGTTCAACCCAATGCAACATGGCCCAAACCGATATAATATAGCCCAACATAATTCCACCCAACCCAACACAGCCCAGTACAACCCAACTCAACACTAACTCACAATACACAGATCAGGTCAACCGAGTACAACCCAACCCAACATAAAACATCACACCCAACCCTATCCAATCCAGTATTACTCAACTAACCCAAAACAACCCAACTCAGCACACACAGTTCAGTTCAACCCAGTTCAACACAACAAGATTGAACTTAATGCAACACAGTACCAGACAACAAATTCAACTCAATTCACCAAACATAGCTCCATTCAGCCCAAACAAACCCAGGCATTGCTCAGTGTGCCAACTCAGTACTGATCAATCCAGCTCCACTTGGTTAAATACCACACAATACTACATAGCCCTTTATAACTAAACCCAGCTCAACACAACCAAAGTGGATCACTTTCTTCCATTTGTCCTGCTTCCTCTTCTGGGTAGACTTTATGACTTGTCACATAATGAGAGATTATCTTGTCCCTGAAATGAGAGATTATCCACCTGTGTTGCTTTTAAGATAGGGTCTCATGTAGCTCAGACTGGCCTTTATCTTACTTTGTAATCATAGCTAGCCTTGAATTACTGATCCTCTTATCTTGCCTTTCACGCTGTGGGATTATAGGCTTGGGCCACACCTATTTACTTCTCTGTCCCCACCAATGAGAGAAGGCTGGATGCTGAGCAACAAAGGCAGCAAGTTTGTGCAGCCCAGTGGCCCTGCTTTGCCCAGAGGATGTGCTCCTCTGCAGGAAATCATAGCAAAGAAAGTGAAAGCCTGATATGCCAAAGCACATATGGTCAAGCCCATACACTAGCATTGAAGTGTCAGCTTAATATGAAATCAATTCCACAGTCAGGTTGCTTTTCCACTCAAGGTATGGCAAGAATGGAGGATGAGGGTTCCTATCCAGCAGGCAGGCAGGAACCTGGTGCATGTGAGTAGAGAGGGTTTCTTCCTTTAAAAAAATTGTATTTTAATGTGTGTGTGTGTGTGTGTGTGTGTGTGTGTGTGTGTGTGTGTGTGTAAGCACGAGCATGCGCGCGCACAAGCCAGAGGTCAACATTAGGTGTCTTCTTCAATTGCTCCTGATCTTATATTTCAGAAAACATCTCTTTTTCTCTGCACTCTGAGCTTGCCGATTTGGCTGAACTAGGTAGTCATTGAGCCTCCTGTCTGCTCCACTTGCTAGTGCTGGAGGACACAGGTGCACATCTCCATGCCTGACTCTTTTAAGTGGGTTCTAGGGTTCTGAACTCAGGTACTCTTGCTTCCATGGCAAGTATTTTACAGACTGAACCATCTCAACAACCCCAAGAGCATTTCTTTTTAATGGGCACAGCACTGTGGTCTAGGCCCCAGGGAGTCAGTACAAAAAGTATTGTGATCCCGAGGAAAACTCATAGACACTGTAGCTTTTGTTTTATTCTAGTGGCGGTTCTGAGGTGTCAGAGTGCCTATCAGCTTCACCAAGTCCTGTTTAACACACTGAGATGTCTACCATTTAACCTGGGTACATAGAAAATGCAAAATGGTTACCAGGAAGCCTGCAGCCCTAGACACTGTAGCTGCCTGATGGGACATGCTGCAGTCTCATGGTTTGACAAAGAACTGCAGAGCATCTGGGCTTTATTGCCATGCCAGAGCCATCTCATGCCCCATGAGACCTCACCTACATGAGATATGAACTCACAGAGGAGCCCTGAATCCAGCCTCAGCTCCAGCCCAGGATGGGATCGGGGCCAGGGCAGGAGGGGTAGAGAAAGGGATGACTGGTTGCAAGTCCACAGTGCCAGTAGGTAGCATGCTGGCATGGAGTAAACCTGCTTGCTTTCTGCTTGTATGTGTGTCCCTGTGTGCATGCAAGCAACACACGCACACTTCTCAAATGATGTGAGTGTCCAGGGCTGAGTTCAAGGATTACCAAGCAGGAAACAGAGAATGACACAGAGCAAGTGTTTCTGGGCCAGCCAGGACACTGCTTCCATGACACACACAGACATACACAAGCTTACTTTCAAAACGCTGAGAAAATCTACAATTAGAGATTTATTTTAGTTTAAGATCAGAAACTGTGTCAACAAACAAACAAACAAACAAACAAAAACCCCATCAGGATAAGGTTCAGTATTGTCCAAATTCAGCCTTGAGCTTCCTGTCAGCCAAGGTAGAAAGGGTAACCTTAATCTATTATCTATAAAATTATTACAGACTATAAAATATATTACAGATAAATTACAAATACAAACATACATATTACAAATTATACATGACCAAATGTATTCCTTTCAAATAGGAAGGTTACAAAATTACAGAATGGTAGTGCAGAAAAGACCACACCATCTCTTGAGGAAAAAGAAAGACCTAGCTGTGGGAAGTGATTGCCCAGAGTTAATAGCGATGCAGAAGCAGTGCTGAGCCTGGAATCCAGGACTCCCCAGTTCTAGGCCAATGCTCTTTGACTTCAGCTTGCTGTTCCCAGCACATGCCAGATTGTTTTTAGTCTTGTCTCTGTACAAAAGCAGCAGGGTGGGTGGGATCTCCATGTGCGTCAAACCTCTGGGTTGAGCTCTGTGCCTGGCAGTGCCCTGGGGGTGGGGATGAGCAGTGCAGGGATGTACTAGAACTGTATTAGAGCTGTTTTGCCTGCCTCTGTGGAGTTTGCTCAGGACCCACACTCTGCTGGTGGCAAGCCAGGTGCCTGGTGTACAGTGATGGCAGGAACAAGGAGGGGGCAATGAGGGGGGTCCCAAGATGGTCCTTCATGGGAAGCAGCCTGGGGTCTGGCCCTGCTCCAGGGGGCTTCAGGGCCTCTCTCTCTGCTGTCTGGGATTCCAATCTCCACAGCTGGTGTCTGAAGACAATGCGACTGAGGCCTCCCCGCCCTGGGCCACCCCGCCCTGGCCCCAGATGGGCTGCGGTTAGAGAGGCCTCCTCCAAGACAGTTGGTTCCTTGAACGGCCTGGTCCTCCGGAGAGGCCTGTGCTGAGTGGGCCAGGCCCGGGTGGCCCCAGGAACGGGGTGGTCCTGGGAGCAACATGCAGAATGGAAGCACAGTGGGGACCTCGGTGAGCTCTCCTCCTGGGGGCTGTAGAGACAAGCCTGTGGTTGCATAGCCCTGAGGCCCAGAGGCCCAGCTTGGGTCAGAGATGGGAGGACACAGAGACATGGATTGGAGCACAGAGGGACCACCAGGTACCATGTGAACTCCTAGAGGATGGGAGGACTTTGATGGCCAGCCAGGCTAATTGCTTCAGCTGACTGGGGAACAGGAAAGGCAGAACATAAGCTCAGGCCTCAGGCCCAGGGCAAGGATAGGGACAAAGGTCCACCCTAAGACAGATGTCCCCTGCAGGCCAGCTCCCACTAATCTGAGTTTCTCCACTCTGTCCCCACCTCCCACTACCTTCATCAAATACATCTTACCATGCCCTCTTCTGCTCCCTCCCACAAACAATATTCTTGGCTGCCCCTCCCCAAACAATGGGGCTCCCCACATCCCTCAAGCGTTATATCGCTATATCACTATTCCAGGTCCCTTTGCCAGACACCAGGCATCCCTGGGTCCTCAGTTTCACAGCCCTCAGTGACATCAGCCACCTCTATATCCACCACAAAAGGAACCTGGAGCCCATAGACACAAAACCTCCACAGCAGCAGAAGCAGCAGCAGCTGCTTCTCTTGTCTCTACCCCACCCCCAAAGAGAGGAAGGAGTCAAACTGTATATTTTGGTGCCTCTAGCGCCCCCCTCCTCCCCAGAAAACCCTGGGAGGCTGAGGATGGAGCGGAAGGCTGAGCTCAGTCTGCAGGAAATTAAACATGAAATGAAAACAACCTTCTCTGATTGATTCCTCCATCCCGTCCCCCATCCCCCACTGCAGCCGCTGATAAAGGGGGATCCCATTTCACCGCACAGAAGAGCCCCCATGTGCTCCTTTCTCCCAGTGGGCATCCCAGGCCTGCACCCCAGAGTCAAAGCACCCCTCCCCCAGGCTCTGGGGCAGGGACTGAGACCCTGAGCCTTGGAGAGGGCTGCTCTCCAGGGAGGTCACAGGAAGGATACTCTGTGTGTGTGTGTATGTATGTGCACATATATATATATGTGCAAGGAGCAGATAGATATCTTTGTGTGTAAATGTGTGTATATGTCAGATTAGAAGTGGCAAGTGAGCTGGAGAGGAAGTGCACCCTATTTCCCTACCCAACACTAACGAATATTCATGGGCAGATTTTGAAAGCAAGAGAATGAGGTCAGGAGCCGTAAACAAACAACTTGAGTGCTCTAGAAACTTCATGCTGTGTTCCCATCTGCTGTCCCCACACAGCACCACCTCTACCAGGACCTCAGCCCAGACCTCAGCCCCATTCTGAGGATGAAAAAAATCAAGGCTTTCGGCAGTGCAGACATTGCCAAGGGCCCTTCTATTCAAAGATACTCTAGAAGCCCCACAGGCTGCAGCCTCTGGGGAAGACCCACCCCTCTACTATGGTTCTCAAGGAGTCTGGGTGCTGCCAGGGAAGGATGGTGGAGAGGCTACTCTGTTCTCATCCCAGAAGCGCAGCTGACTGCTGTGGCTAGGGAAGCTTCTGCCCTGCCTGTCAACATCGTCTTTCTCACAGTCTGGGCCCCAAATGAGCAGCCTGGGTGCAGACCACCCTGGCACAGACCTGTCCACCAATTTGCCGTTGCAATAGGACACTGTCATAAGCAAAGCTTATGATCAAGAACCATGCAATTGAGTTACAAAATCAATTTATTTTTCAAGTGTTTTAAGCAAGTTTACACTTCTATGCTGGGCTGTGCTCATAGCTGTCTTGGGGTGCATGTGGCCTGCAGGCCACAGACTGAGCAGACATTGCTGAGCTGTTCCTGTGTGCATCTGAATCTACAGATCCCACTGAACAGTACAGAGTAAGCTGCTGGCATTGCCTTCTAAGGAGATGGTCTGCCCTCTTCCCACCGTTGTCCTCTCCCACCATCTCTGATGGCACCCTCCACTCTGTCCATAACCAGTTAAGGCCCCTAGTGTAGCAGCCTGCCCTTGACCTTGTCTTCGAGTCTCGGGTGGTTCTCAGCTACCCCACCAGAGTCTCCACACTTACCTCTGACTCAGAGACCTCTCTCCTGACTGAGTGCTTGGTCAAGCCAATGGCTTAGGACCTATGCCTCAGAGAGAGGTACCACCTGGCCAGCATCAGCCAACCTATATGGGATTTTCAGCAGTTAACCCTACCGACAGCTCCCTAAGGGCAACTCCCCAGCTGGTGTAGGCACCCTCCACCATCTAGCTCCTGTTTCCACACATCTTTTTCTGACAGCTGTTGCTCCAGAAGGTTTCACCCACCATCACCCAAGGGCAGCTCTGAGCAGAGTTGGTTTCTCTTAAAAGGATACAGGGACTTGTGTATTCTGGATTTGCATCTATAGACACGTCCTAGAGAGCCACAAGCCTTCAGCACTGTGTGAGACTAGATAAGGAAGTTGAACGGTCTTCATAGCTTGATGGGATTCTTCCTGGGGTCTGTGACTCTCTGCAGATTATACAAAGTGCTAGGAAGACAGATAACCAATGGTTTGTGCTCACTCTCTCCTCATTTATGTGTGGGTGTGCATGTGAGTGTGTGTGGGTGTGCATACACATACAACACTTACCTGTTCTGGAATCTGAAGCTTAAGCAGTTAGGCACCAAATCACACTTACGGTCAGTGCAGTGTAGGCAGCCTTCCCAATACTGACAATTCTGTTTTTAGTTGTTATACCAATGATTGCAAGGTGGAGGCTGACTCTTTCTCTGTGCCCCTAACACACACATCTGGCTGGTGGAATTAAGGAGCAGTGCTCCCTGCAGGGGAACAAGGCCTGAGCCCTGTGACCACCGTTTTGTTCTGTAGGTTTGGTTCCAGAACCGGAGGGCCAAGTGGCGGAAGAGGGAGCGCTTTGGGCAGATGCAACAGGTCCGGACCCACTTCTCTACGGCCTATGAACTGCCCCTCCTCACTCGAGCAGAGAACTATGCCCAGGTAAGTCTTCCTGCCTGGCTGTCTCCTCTGACACGAGACCCCAGCACTGATGGTGCAGGAGGAGGGACAGTGAAGATGGAGATTTCTGACCCACCTGGTCCCACAGCCGCTTTGACCCAAATAAACACACAAAGACTTACATTAATTATAAAATGTTTGGATGGTGGTTCAGGCTTCTTATTTGCTAGCTCTGTCTTAATTATTAACCTATTTCTATTAATCTATGTATTTCCACTAGGCTGTGGCTTACCCATAATCTGGCATGTTACTCCTTTAGCAGCATGGAGTCTCTTCAAGGCTTCTCTCTCTCCCCCACTCTCCCAAGCCTTCTCCAGCACTCTCCTGGTAGCCCCTCCTATACTTTTTGACTGGCTACTGGCCAGTCAATGTTTTATTCATCGACCAATAAAAGAAACATATATACAGAAGAACATCCCCCATCAGACTAGGCTCAGAGACCCCAGGTCTCTGTTTGTTCCTGACTGTGGGAGACCTAGAAGGTTGGGAGAGTGTCTTCCTCTGCTGGGGTAAGATCTGGCAGACAGGAAGACTAGGTGCTTTCAGAGTGTTGCCTGTCACTCAGGGTACCTACACTAAGGAAGGGTGTTTTCGAGGGCTTGTGGCTAGGAGGGAACGCACATAGAGATCCCAGAACAAAGCTTCCTCAGTCTTAGTCTTGCTGTCTTTGTGTGTGTCTCCAACTCTCTGAGATCCAGCTTCTTTGCTTACACATTGGATATGATATAAGTGTCCACTTCAGCTCTTCTATAACATTGCTATAAGGTCTAGGGGGTCATGGTTTCTGGAAGGTACCACGCATGGGCCTGACATTCAGGCATTTTCCTGCTGTCTCCCTTCCTTTCTCCAGCAACTTCCTGTGTGTTCATCAGCCAGCACAAAGAGTATTGTGAGTGATGTCAGGCATGCAGGGCTCCTGGACAGATGTCTATCTGACTGAGTGCATCGCTGACACCTCCTCTCATGACATCCTTCCGCCCCTCCCCCCCACCTATGTATGCCTCTTTCCTGTTTGCACTCTGCCTCCAGCTCTAAGTCTTAGACTCTCCAGCAGCTAATACCACCACTGATGCCAGGTGTGCCTTTGTGTGGTGCTGTCACACAGCCTCTGTCCATCCCAGCCCTGACCTGGGTTGGCTCCCTGAGGATTCGAGGGTCAGAATCCTCTAACTCTCACTCTTTGCCCTTGATCGCTTCCATCTGAGCTCAGAGCTAGAGGGAAGAAACAAACAAGAGACTGTAGCTGGAGTTTTTTTTTTGTTGTTGTTGTTATTTTTGTCCCACCAGGTCCCACCACTTCAGCCCCAAATGAGCACACAGAGACACTATATTAATTATAAAACTATTGGCTGATGACTAGGGCTTCTTATTGGCTAGCTCTGTCTTAATTATTAACCCATAACTACTAATCTATGTATTTCTACATGACCTTATCTTACTGGAGAACACCTGGCATGTCCTGTCTTCCTTGTCTCTACGTGGCTTCTCTCTGGTACCTCTCTGCCTACCTTTCCCAGAATTCTCCTTGTTTCCTAGTCCTGCCTATCTTCCTGCCTCTATTGGCTAAACAGTGTTTTATTCATCAACCAATAAGAGAAACACATATATACAGAAAGACATTTCCCATCACGAGACCCTGCCTGTCTCTCCCATCTGCCCCCACAGACTCCAGGTCCTAGACCATTTCCAAGAGGGGGTGATAGCCAAATTGTCCCCTCTCTGGGACATGCTGGGATCAGGAACAGGACATAGTCAGTCTGCAGGCAGTTCTTGGGACCATTAGAAGTCCCTATGGATCTTGAAGACCAGTGTCCACCTGGTGCTTTTAAAGGCTTCTTGAGTTCTTCTCAAACCTTTCAGGTGGGTAGGCCAGAAGAAACCTGTCTGAAACAACTGAGAACCTAGAGTTACAGTTTAGAGGAACATAGTCCTCTCTTCAAAGGGGACCTCTGTACTCCAGATTTACTTCCTCAGAGATGTTTCGAAGGCAGAGGAAAGTGAGGCCAGAAGTAGGGGGTGGGAAGAGAAAATGAATGGCAGTCATTTCAGTGGAAGAGAAAACTTGTCGTTGAACCCCACCTGGGGGCTGGGGCTACCTTTTCACTGCTAGGCTAGTTGGAAAGCCTCAAGTGTTCTCTCTTGGAGCCTTAGTGACTGACTTGGGCCTATGGTAGCATTCAGATGTCTGCTCCCACACTGATCCCCATACCACCCCAACCTGCAAGCCCAGAGTCTGTGCCCCCCGCCCCCCCAACATGTTCTCAGGTTGATCCAGATTAATGCTTTTACTGGACCCAAGGTTCATGGAAACTCAATCCTTGCTACTGAATGTCGAGTATGGATCTACTCTAAGAATTGAAATTCTAAAACATAAATTTACCTCCAACTCCCTGGGCATCCTTAATGTTAGACACCTAAGATTTCATTGTAATGGTGGACAGGTAAAAAGGGTAGGAGCCCCTTCTATACCACTGCCCTGCTAGCTGGCCTGTGACATCTCTTCCTTCACTGTCCCCAGATTCAGAACCCGTCCTGGATTGGCAACAATGGGGCTGCCTCACCAGTGCCAGCCTGTGTGGTCCCCTGTGACCCAGTGCCTGCCTGCATGTCCCCTCATGCTCATCCTCCTGGCTCTGGGGCCAGCAGCGTCTCCGACTTCTTGAGTGTCTCTGGGGCTGGCAGCCACGTGGGCCAGACACACATGGGCAGCCTGTTTGGAGCAGCTGGCCTCAGTCCAGGCCTCAATGGCTATGAGATGAATGGCGAACCAGACCGCAAGACCTCGAGCATCGCTGCACTGCGCATGAAGGCCAAGGAGCACAGTGCAGCCATCTCTTGGGCCACATGACAGGGCCTCTCCTGCCAGTCCTGATGTCGTGCTCCTCCCTGGGGCCTTGGCCACGTCCCTGCTTTCCAGGCCCCAAGCTTCCCACTTGACTCTCCTCTTAGGAACCTGGTCTGGCCCAGGGGCCTGGCCCTCAGCACTTTCAGCCACCCCAAGTCTGAGGCCCCAGGGACTGCTGGGAAGGAGAGGGTGGTAGTCCCTTGTCCTTCCCTGGCACTGAGGCCATGACCCCTGCTCCCTGCCAAAGGCAGTGGAGAAAGCCAGGCGGCTCTATGTGTAGCTTTGCATCATGTAAGCTGACACCCTGTCTCTCTTCGTGTTCCTTCACCCTTCCATTTGACTTGAGTCAAAGTTAGGCTCTCCTCAAGACCTAACAGCTTCAACAGTCCAGCCTCGTCTAACCTTCCCTTCTTCTGTGTGATCCCCTGGTCACTGGGCCTATGGCTGTGTGTCTTAAGGAACAAGCTGCCTTACAGAGTCAGTTCCTGAACCCCTCTGCTCCCAGAAAGCACATGGAACCCCACCTTCTTTATCCAAGGCATCTGATCATCCACCCATGCCATGGGCCTTGTGACTGTAGCTTGACTGTCCCCTGTGATGGATGAGACATGAGATGAGGGGACAGAACTGAAGGACTCTGTTGCTGTCCACCCATAAGGATAACCAAGCTCCAAGGAGAAGTGGGCCAACCTTTGCTCCTAAGACTGGTTCTAGTTGACACTGTGGGAGTGGGGTGCCAGGTGTAATAGGAGGCAAGACACAGACCAACACCCCTCCACTGCCACTACCCCACAGATGACCATCAGGAAGCAGAGAAGCTCCCAGAATGATGACCACAGGGAGGATCCAGTGGGCTGAACCTGGGTACCACCTGGCATCTTCTGCAGTGGGGAGGTCCCTTGGTCAGCACTGGAGCCTCCTCAGGACCCCTCTGGGAAGAGTTGAGATATTCATCCTCTCCCTCTTGGTCACTCTTTGGGGCTGCTGATCAGTGTCCTGGGCTTGAAGAGTCTACACCTTGGAAGACATAAGCTAGAGCACAGGGCCACGGCTGAAGCTCGGGAGCAGAGAACATGTGACCAGCTCAGCTTCCAGCCAGTAGGGCCTTTCTATGCTCAGACTGTGTCCATCTACCACTCTGCCACGAATCACACCTGCTGGAGCTTTCCACACAGAATAGGTGGAGGTCAGTGCCCCTCTAGGCTAAGAGGAGACCTGCTTTCTAGTTGCCCTCCACACCTTCTTAGAGATCCTATCCTTACTTCTTCCCCTGGGGCCATGGTCTCTGCCTCAGCTGGCCTTACGAAAGCCTCCCATCAAGTACCACTCTCCATGGCAGGAAGCCCTGAAGCCAGTCCCCTATCTGAAGCAAGGGGCTCCCTCTCTACCTAACTTGATCTGGAGCTGGAACTAGGATTTGAAGTGGCCCCAGCCCTCACCTGAGCTGGAGCAAAGAGCCACCCTTGAGGTAGGTCCCTCAAGCAGGTGGCCTTTCCTGAGGAGACACACTTGCCTTTTCTACCTTCTGCCTTGACTATTGTTCATGAGGTGGGCTGGGCTCACTAGGCCCAGGGTTCTGCTCACCAAATGGCCTCTTGGGTTGGGCTGAGGAGCAAGGACCCCTGCCTTGGATCTTCCCTAGGTCTCGGTGGACAAGAGGGAACCACAAACCTGTTATGTTCTCATCTGCTCTGGAATGTAGACAGAGTAAGCTCTTAGTAGAATGTAGACTCTGGGTTGGCCATCCCTAGTAAGAGTCAGACCTCTTCAGAAACTGTGGCTCTCAAATAGATCTTAGGAAGGCAAAGAAAGCCTTGGGTATTGAATTCAGTGTTGCCTGTGGCTCGGCTTTAATGTTCCAGATGTTTGGGGAACAAGTTCTCCATTTCTGGAGTGCACTGAAATAACTCACTCCTTCAGAATCCAGCAAAAGGAAGAAGGACTTCAGGGAAGGGAGTGACATATAACTTCCCTGGGTTTTATTTCTGGCTAGGCTAGACCCAAGTCAGACAAATTCCAACCCATAAGCCTGAGAATGAAAAGGTATATAGCAATAGCAGATTGTTTTCCATCACAGTCAAGAATTGACATGCCTTCCATCATCTCTCTAGAGCAGTTGTCACCTAGGCTCTTCTGGAGGGCCTCAGCCTCAGCTGGTCCCTAGGGCAGCTGGAGATTCCCTGAGCTCCCATGGGGCCTCCTCATGTCTCACATCTCAGCTGCCCAGGTCTCCAGAAGAGAACTGTGGAGTCCCGTTGTCCCTAGTGGGTCTGTCTTAGCCCCTAGGATGCCCCAAAGTAACAAAAGTCTCCATGCAACTTAGCTTCCTAAAGAGCCAGATCTTCCCAAGGTGCAGATGAGGGAAGAGGACTCTACCTGCCAGTTGGTCACTGCTGGATAAGCATCTGAGTGAGCTGAGGCCACCCTTGCCTGACAGCACAGTAGTGGCATGTTTTATGCTGGCAGCCTGGTATATCACAGAGAGTGGCTATGCCTGCCTCAGCTCGTCTCTCCAGGAGCCCCTTCCTTTCACAGCAGAGGGTCCCAGGCTCTGGGACAGACAGGCATGTCTCCAAGTTTTTCTTTGATTTGTCTTAATTCTCCCTGATTATCTTCTCACATCTATGCCTCCACCTTTGAGAAGCAGGATGGCTGGGGATTTAGGCAAGGAAGCAGCAAGATCCAGGGGTTCCCCAGCACTCACTGTGGGGCTCATGTTGGACACAGCTCTGGTGCATCATCTCCAGGAGTAGACAGGAAGGATGCCATGGAATCCACCATGTGCCCTTTACATAGCCAATTGCCTTCTGGGATATCCTTGGGCAGATCATCTCTGGGGACTCAGGAACCCAAGGTCCCAGGTTAACAGGAATGACCCTGACTGTCAGGTGTCAGGTCCAGAGACAACAGACCAGAGAGAGAGAGAGAGAGAGAGAGAGAGAGAGAGAGAGAGAAAGAGTAGCAGGCAACCTCACCCCCAGGGTGCTAATCAATAACTGTACGATTTCAAACCAGGGCAAGCTTATATATTTTTCCCTCAGCCCCACTTTGCTACAAGAATGCCATAGGGAGGAGTTCCCACCAGACAATATTTCCCACCCTTCCCTCTCCTTTCTTCAACCTTCACTCACACATAGAGCTAGGCCTGTATACTACTGATTTTGGAGGACCGTTTTCAGTGTCTAATAACCTGTTTGGGTGTGCAGTGGTCAGAAAAAAAAAAAGAGAAAGAGAAATCTGAGTGAGAGATGGAACATGAACCTCAACCAAAACACGCTGTTCTTGTAAGATATTCTAACCCTGTATAAATGCAACTTCTTCTTTAGCTTAATGGCCTGGGGTGGAACATTCAAATATATATATAAATATATATTAAAAATACATTAAAATTTCAGAAAAATGTAAAAAAATTGAGGTCCGTTCCATAAAGTTTTACTGCCTATACCACCATGTAACTACATTATAGCAAAAATATTAAAAGAAACATTCTTTTCTTTTAAAGTAAGTTATTGCACTTACATCTTTTGGAGAGGGGAGGAATGTGGGAAGAAGGGGGCTGAGGGGCTGAGGTGGGTGGGATGCAAGGCAGAGGCAGCTGATGCTTCCCGCACCCCCTTGTCGGGAGCGGACCAGACTGTCTGTTTGGTTGTTGTTGTTTGCAATAAACTCCTTCCTCCTCTCAACTGGAGTCTGTCTGTTTTGTTCCTGACTTATGACAGATGAAATGTGATCAGAGAGGCCTCTGAAATCTCACGTTAATTGAAGTCGGCAAAAAAATACTAACAGTGCCCTTTTGAACCGCTGACACAGTGCAGGATGGGTTACCAGGCTAGATTAACAACAGGTGGCCAGCCAATCCTCCAGTGCAAAGAGGGTGCATGGGCTGTCAGGGTCTGGGACACACACACACCATTGGGGGCTCTTGAGTAGCAGGCAAACCAGAGGGGCCAGAGGGGCCTAAGCCTGCTTCTTAGACAGTGGGATGGCTCATGGGCAAAGCTTCTTGCTTCCCCTGTGCCTAATACAGACTGTACCAGAAGGGCTTCATCAGCAGCCGTCCTCCACATCCCTGATGTCCCTGAGAAGAACAGTGCTTCCAGAGGCTGTTCTGGAAGCCGGATGAGAGCCAGGGCATCTGAGAGTGCAGGGCAGGCCTCTAGGAGACGCAAGACCCAAGCCTGGCCCTGATAACCAGTACTGGGTGGTAGAAGGAACTTTCCTAGCAGGAAAAAAAAAAACTGTACAAATGAGTCTGAAAGCCAGGCTGTGAGGACAAAGGATGAAGCAGACAGGGGCTGCAGGAGGAGACTCAGATTGCTACAAGGAACTCCTCCCTATGGCATCCTTGTAGACTCTGAGGCCGTGAGTCTCAGAGCCCCTAGTGTGTGGAGCAGGGTCCAAAGCACATGGACACACCCATCCCTGTCTAGTTCAACAACCTGTGGGGAGGATTAAATGATGAGGTGCGTGCATGTGCTTCCAAGATGATGTGGCAAAGAGGCACGAAGGATGATGGCTGTTCAGAGCTGCTCTTCCCAGCCTCTCATTCCAACGATCTGAACACTCTCTTGCAGATACTGAGGACTTGCTGCCTGTGGGGGGGTAGGGGGGCGGGATTCTGTGTAGCACAGATACGTTTTAGGTAAACCTGGAAACTCACTTTAGAAAATGACAGCTGGCACACATTAGGGCCAAGGGACACCATGGCATTTGGACTCTTACCCCAAATCACAGAACAGCAACTGAGGCAAAGGCAGGAAAAGCCACATGCACCCGGTAACCATGGAGTGCTGTCTCTACCACCCACCTCTGCTCTTCCCTGGGAGTCAGACACTTGAATCTCAGAGTCTAGACAAGGGCTGTTTCTCCAGGCAAGTCCAGCTTGTGGGAAGCTGACTGGGTTATGCATCCCTTGTGACTGAGGGAATCCATTCCACAGACTGGTGCCTCTCAGGACAGCCATCTCTCAGTAGCCATGGGGGATTGTCTCCAGGACCTCTGGA